ACCGGACTCCTCCCCCCTTCCCTTCGTTAGCCGACGGAGCCACTTGGGGAAGGGGGGAGGAGTCCGGTGACGTCACCAGCTCGCCGAAGGGACTCCCGAAAGCCGGCGGAGAGGTGAGTGTTTTCATTAGCGATCAAAATAATTTTAATCGATCAAAAAGTTTAACGATTAATCGAGAAATTAATCTTTAATTTCCACAGCCCTACAAGAAATGTATTGGATATGTGAACTATCTCCTTACCATCTTGTCTTGAATTGTATTGTGATTGTAATGTCTTCCTTATATTGTAAAGCGCTGCGCAAACTGTTGGCGCTATATAAATCCTGTATAATAATAATAATATCTGAGCAGATTCACAAAAGAAAGCGGTGTTTATCACAACAGAGAAATATACAGCAGCACCACCACATGTGAATATGACAGTGACATATTAATTTGCACTATCTATCGGTGGCTGATGGCATTTCTGGAGGGTGACTACAAGTTTGAACATTTTCACGTTTATCTTAGGATACTCCCATGCTATTTATCAACATTTCTATATAATACAACCTAGTCTATTTATATAGTGGCACATCTATTACCAACCTTATATATGTGAACTTTACTATGTGCCATTGTTTTTCCCCTATAAGGGCATCCATGGGGCAATAATCACCCATGGTTCATTTAAGACTATTGTCCTTTAAGAAAAAAAAATGGGCAAAGGGTTTTGTAGAGAGGTATATAGAGCCAATGCATAAGTAAAATATAGGAAGATTTATTAGACAAATACATTATTGTTTACAGTTGATGCAACATACAAAATCATCCATAAAATTTCTAAAATCATATGCCCCATGAATACATATTCAAACCTGATGTTCCTCTTATGGCAACCATAGTTACAAACATTCCATGGATGCAATATCCCAATATAAACCAACATGATTCGTCTTAGATAGTTGGACGACCATAACGACAATCCATTCATAATTACAATATCCAGATACATATGACATATTTCGTCCCTACGCGTTTCACACTTGGCTTCTTCAGGGGATCGAAATTGTGATAATCGCACACACTTGGTGCCTGGAAGAGGGACGATGTCTAGTCGCCCATCTAATTTCGGTCCATAGACATCGTCTATATGGAAAACAACTGTTATAATAAATCGTAACTTACTGGGGAAGGAATTGTATATTCAGCTGTGTCCCAGATTCTGGAATCCGCATCCGCAACACCTTTAACCTTTGTGTGTACAGAACTGATAACCGAATCCTTTTTCTGATAACGCTTTTCAGTCAGCAGTATAACACTGGAATCGAACAATAATAATATAAGAATTTTCCAATCCCCGTGGAAAATAATAATTCTATACATGGATAGAGGAATATTCTCTTTGATAATTAATACCATACATGACATAAGGATGCATATTTTTCATGGCAAAGTGAAAGGTTCTCTGCATAGCGCCTCCACTGTTGGTACCTACCTTGACTCTCTCCCCTACCACCCTGTGAAATATCAGCAGAATGTCTTTTGTTATCTTCCCTTCTTGTTTTTTTTTCTTCTTCTCTCCCCCCCCTTCCCCCACCTGTGGAAATCCACCTTATGTTTTTTGCTACCCCTCGATAGTTGGGCCTCGGTGGATACAGGACTCAAGTGTTCTCACTCTCCATATTCGAAAATGCGTGATTTTTTTTTTTTGCTGTGCATATGGAGGAGTTGTGAGGGCACCTTGCTTGATTACAATGTTATCTATTTTATTTCTTGTTATCAAACCATTGAAGTTGTGGATGTTGTTGATGATATCATATGTTATATATGTTTTCTATGACTACGAAGATGGTTTAGCTGCTGCATCAGCAGAATTTGTTTTGTCCTCTACTTGTTTCTTATTTGTTAAAAATTCAATAAAAAGTTTGTGAAAGAAATTCCAGCTGAAAACCTGTTTCTTTGCCGTGAATGGCCAATGTACAGGTGTGCTTTATACATTGTCTGTCCAAAAAAAAGTCACCACTCGGATTTAGCTAAGCAAATAGGAAAGAGCTTTCCATTGGATAATTAATGCAGTGGTTAATATGTTTAATCTAGAAACAAATGAGTTCAGCTGCTTACCTGAATATACAGAATTACTCAAACTCGAATTGTGAAAAAGTGGTTCGGGGAGCATGAGACGTCATTTTCACACATGGATTGGCCACAAGATATTGGTGAAAAATGAATGCAACACTAGATGGAAATAAATGTTGTGACCTTGTGACCTAAGCTTATCGAAAACAATGCCATGGTGAATGTATGGCGTAATCAAAGCTAAGGGCAGTCCAGCCTTTAGCTTTGATTTTAGCGAGCTTGGAGCAGTGGCTACTTTCCAACACACACAGGGACAAAAGTAGCCACCCTCCAGAAGGAAGGACAGTGTCAGCACCAATTCAGAGATGATTTGAGGATCTACAGCTGAGTAATACACAAATAAGGTCCATTTTTGTTAATAGTTCAGGTACTTGAATGCATTTTTTGGGGGGGGGGATTTGTAGTTAAAGCACAGCTGGAGGGCCGGAGTTTCCCACCCCTGCCCCAGACCAAAACGAGCAGTTAACCCTTGCAGTGTGGGGGTAGCCCCAGGGTTATTTTTGTTAATTCCTGGAGTTCCACTTTAAGTGGATGAAAATAAAACTTCAAAGCCTAGAGTCCTGAAAGCAATGCCGAACGGTGTTCGGCTCACTTCACTTCTAATCGGTCATTCACTCGGCTGCCCTCGGCAGCTTTGTGAATAGACCCCATTGTCTCAGCCCCAGATAGCAATCTATTGTTAAAGTCATGTGTGTGTGTCAGAGGGAGACACACCACTTATTTTCTATGACAGACACAGCACACTCAAGTCAAAACTTGCAGCTGCATCATCACAGGGTGGAATCTTATTAACAACAAGATCTTTACTATGATTTGTGCTACTGGAGACAAACAATACTTCATGGTAGCATTGTACGTGAGGGAGGTTTTATAGCAGGTTTGAATTGAATGTAGCAAGTCATACTTCTCTATCACTTCTTCTAGATCTGTATCAGTATGGAGACATTCATTTGATTCCACTGTTTGGTTTTTTTAAGTGCAACAATGCTTATTTTGTTGAAGTGAACCTGTCGGGATGGATGCATATTAGCTAATTGTTGATTTGTTTTTAAAGGAGCAAGCTCTCTAATCCTGATAATGAGTATATATAATGAGTCAGAGACCTTGAATAAGCATGCAGCCAGTGAAGCATGAAAAGTCTAAACTGTTGTCCCACTTACTTGTTCCAAGGTCCTTCGCTAATATTTCTGAATTATATAAACATTGCTATCCCCAGGCAAAGATTCCCTTCAGTAGCTAGGTGGGGGATAGGGAATGCAGAAGGGAGAACCTCTTTGGTGACACCCACATAATAAAAAATAAGTTTAAAAGACATTTCAGTTACATGCAGCAAACATACAGGAGCTGCAGTGGTGTGTATGTATGTACCCAAACTCCTTGCAGCCCATGAGCTACTAATAAGATACCTTACCCGACTAGGGTCCATTCATACCACATGCATTGGGGCTGCACTGGCCGTTGTTTCCAGCGCAGCCCCAACGCAACACCACTGTGTTGCACTGAAAAAAAGTATGGCATGTCTGACTTTTTCAATGCAGCAAGATGTGATGTGGATCAATCGCCTCACACTCCACTATGCCTGTAGAACTGACTGAAATGTCACTTCTAAAAAAGTGTGAGGTGTCGGGAGTCGGGACCGGTGCATTGTCATTGTGTTGGGCACATGCACACCATCAGCCGTGCATAGTTACATAGTTACATAGTATATGAGGTTGAATAAAGACATAAGTCCATCAAGTCCAAACTATTGTGTGTGTGCGTTTATTTTTTAGCAGGTGTGTGCGTTTGTATTAGTCCCTGTGTGATTTTCCACTTGGGCGTACCTGTACCCCTGTATGTTATGGTCTCCAAGGAACTCGTCTAGGAGTTTCTTGAATGATTCCACACTCTTAGCTGAGATCACTTCCTGCGGCAGCGAGTTCCAGACCCTAACCGCTCTGTGAAGAGCCCCTTTCGCCCTGTGTGTTGAAATTTTTTTTCCACCAATTTTTGGTTGTGCCCTCTGGTCTTTGTTACGGAGCTAACCGTAAACAGTTTGTTAATAATGTTGTTGCCGCCCTTGAATAGTTTATACAGGAAAATCATGTCTCCCCTTAATCTCCTAACCTCCAAAGAGAACATAGAGTAGCTTCTGGTGTGAATGGACCATTAGGTGTGAACAGAGCCTTAAACAGGAACATTTGTGTGTTTGAATTCTCAGGATTTATTAAACACCTGTTATGACACTCTAGTGGGATTAGTCTTGAAACTTCAAATTCATTCTAATTTAGTTGTTTTTAACAAAGTTATGAATCAGAAACCCAAATACATATTTGCTGCCTTGCATTTAATCACATGGAGGGGGATTTATGAAATTGGAGCAGACAGAACCTGGAGCAGTTGCCCGTGGCAACCAACAAGCTTCTATCTTTCATTCTCAATGCTTAACTGAGCAAACTGAAAAGAGAAGCTGATTAGTTACTATGGGCAGATTGATGAATTCCCCCCATGGTACTTACTAAAACAAAAAATACTATAAAAAACTGCATTAGTAGCAAACCTTCTACTGCGTATCTCATAGCCTTTCCATAACATCCAGTCCTTTCACATGTTCTTTACTATTTTGCACAACAGTATTGCTCTAAAGCTTGAATTATTTACTATTAGCATTTAATCTTCTAAATATTTACTATAAAATATTTACTGTGCATTCAATCAAGCATGAACTATTTGATAATATTTTACACTAGTGCTACAAAATTGAAACATATGTTGATTTATACTCACCACATATAAAGCAGAACTGCTGCAAAGATGCCCCATTTTAAACTGCCAAGCAGGCGGCTTCTTATGCGAAGATCCTTTTGTGTGGTGTAGTCACAAAAAGACATTTTGTCTAGGGCTGGGCTGCCAGCATGGAGTGAAGTTTCACTGGCAGCGCTCTAGTAAACACTTGCTTCTTGTGTCTGCTAAACTGAAACCAACTTGTAAATGACTCAGTCAGGACTGGACGTGTGCAAAGAAATCTCTGTCTTTCTCTAACATTTCAGCCATCTGTATTCTTTGTATTGCAGTCTTCAGAGAGCAGCGTCTGTCTCTGGAAAAGCATTCAGTCACAGTCATACTGAGGATAAGGAATTGTCTTGCTGCTGAACTACAAACAATTCAAGTATGGAAGATTATTAAACACGTTACATTTGTGGGAGCACAATGAATGAACTGTGAGCATAGGTGTGCGTAGCCTATTGCATTTGGGTGTGCACACAAAAGTACAAACACGCACGCGCATATACTGTGTATATATAAGAATTTTGTAGTCCTGTATAGCTGGTGGTATTCTGCGTTGCTGTATAATCATTATACGGGAATGCAGACTACCATTATACATTACAAATTAAGTCAGCAATACTAAATACCACCAGCTACAGTCTCCCAATCCCCCCTTTCACCCTGGACCAGCCATCACCCATAGACCACCCCAGCCTCACCTACTTCCTGCAGCACCTTTTTCTCCTGAGTCCTTGGCAGCCAGTGGAGGGGAGGGAGCGCAGGAGAGGGTCCTCACAATGACCAAAACAGCAGGATGTGGTTGCCTGGTGGTGAATGCAGAGCCGGTACAGGCTCCGCCAGGCTAAACACTACTTACAGGTGACAGGCATTTGAACAGCCACCTGTACATCCCCGCACAGCCACCGGTACATACAACTGTCACTGCCACAGAGTTTAGTGCGGTTCAGTGTAAAAACTACAAGTAGTTTGTTTACAATGAACATGCAATAATGTCTGCAGCTGTTTGTAGTGTCACTACTACAGCGGGTGGCAGAGGCAGGGAGCGGCACTATCTCCAGGGGGGGGGGGGGGGGCGGGGAAGGGGATATCACGCGC